GGCGAGTGATCAGCCAGTCAGTGAGCTTGATGAGATGCCCCCAATGACAGATACAACCACCCCACGTAGCCCTGGGGCCTCGGGACAACCAGAACCGCTCACAGAGAAAGCTCAGAGAGAGGCCAGTCTGCCCATCGACATCTATGGAGACAGTCTGGTGAGACACCCAACATTTACAGCCTCCAGTTAGTTGATTTTATCAGAGTATTTACAAACCAGGTCTAAATTATTTGTTTGCAAATCATACATATCTGATTCACAAGTTTGAAAAAAGTTCGAAAAAGTCTAGTTGGTTTGGAATAACATGAAGTTAAAGGTGACATATCATGAAAATCTGACTTTTCCCGGTTTTAAGTGCTATAATCAGGTCCCCGGTGCATCTACCAACCAGGGGAACGTGAAAAAGATTAACCCAGTAACTTTGTTTTGGTTAGCCTTTTTCTGCAAGCGTCTGAAAAAACGAGCGTGTCTGATTTTGCTCCCTTAGTGGCGTGGCAAAGGGATCTCATTATAATATTACCACCCCTTAATATGTACGTTTCCACCCACGGCGCCATCTTTGTGTTTTCACAAGAGAAAATGGTGTACCAGCTCTAACGCCATGGCGAAAGTTTGAGCAAAACATACTAACTGTTCTGCCTTTGTCTACACAGACGAGCACAGAACACTATTTAGATCTAAAATAAGCATGCAATTTATTTCCCAGCAGTTTACCTTCACAGACATAACCGACTGTTTTTTTTAACTCATGTGTGTTTTTAACGTAAACTTGTGTGTGAATGAGAACTTAGTTTAGTACTCACATGCTGTGACAGCCGCTTTCTGTCCGTGTGCTTCGGATGTGTGCTCTCAGAAAACCGTATATCAGAAGTTTAAACTCATATGGTTTAAAACGCATGATTTCAGTGTGATAAACATGATAATCAGAACCAAAACAGATGTTTTTTAGCAGGTATGAGCTGTAATGGCGCAGCTCTATTCTGGAAAAGGGGTGGGGAGCAGCAGCTCATTTGCATTTGAAGAGACAGGCCCGAAAAACAGCGTGTTTCTGCTTCCACTCAAAATAGGCATTTTCAAAATGATATTATAAGTGATCTGTAGAGTATTTTGAGCTGAAACTTCACAGACACATTCTGGGGACACCAGAGACTTATAATACATATTGTAAAAAGGGGCATAATATGTCTCCTTTAAAAGTTTAACTACAACATGATTCAAGTAGTATTTTCTTTATTAACCATCTAGTTATAGAAAGTTCTATTCTAAGACATCATGACAACGCATCATGAAGTTGTCAACATAGTGTAAATATAAAACAAATCACTTGTTAAATACAAAAATAATATAAAGTCTCAAAAGTCAAGGCAATTCAAATTCAAAATGACTACAAGTATAACATCAGTAGACTATTATTAACTATAAATGTTTTGAAAAAACAAAGAAAATAACAGCAGATTTCAGCCTGTCAGCATCATGCAAACATACAATATCAGACAT